TGGAAAAGTCTGATTGATAACTTTGCTTTAAATCCAGGTACACTAACACGTTGAGCAGTAATGATCAGCAATGAATATACTCTTGTTTCTCACCTGCAGAGGGAAAATCAGTGATTAAACTGACACACAAAACATAGGAAGTTATTAGTGATGTCGATAGTTTAAATTAAATTAGTTGCCATCTTGTCACATACTGACTATGGTTAATATAAGATTTACATAGTTGTTAATTGTTACCAGATGCCAGCTATCTCTTATGAGAATGTGGTGTTCATCCACTATAAAGCATTTACTCAAATTTAAATTCTGCCTGATTCCCAGCAACTCTGGGCAATTTTCAAATTGTTAAAAACATTTAAAAACAAAGTGCACAAATCAAAAAGAATAAAGGTGTCAGAGATAAGAAACCTGGATAGGAAGCCCCAAGGATGCTTTTCAAAAGGCAGTTGGACTTTCTTGGTTTTTTTTTTCTTTGAATTTTTTTTTGCTTTTCATCCAAAAAGCTTCTTCAGTTCTGAGAACAGGTCCAGAACTGAAGAAGCTTCTTGGATGAGAAGCGAAATGTTTTCAATGAAAAAAACAAGAAAGTCCAGTTGCCTTTTGAAAAACACCTTTGGGACAACCCTGACCTGAATGGTTGAGAATCCCCAGAGACACCTGGATGGTAAGGAAGAAAAAGAGGAAAATGGTCCTCAATCATGCTTGCCAAAGGCCCACCCGGAATACCAGTAGCGTGAAGGTCATTTGACTCTCAGGAAGACCCTTATTCCAGGAGGCAAGAGCTGCCACAGAAAAGGCATGCATCCTGGATCACAATAGATGGCATTGTTTAATCAAAACAACCAACCAACCCTGATCGGCTGGGCAAATACTGTGGGAGACAATCAGTTCTTCAGGTAACCAGGCCCTATGCCATGTTGGGGTTCATGATAGTAATCGGCACCCTGAATCGTACCTGGAGGCAAGCTGGCAAACAGTGCAGTTCACAAAGCAGAGATATTAAATGGGCATATTGAACCGTGCCCATCATTGCCAGCAATGTTGCATCCTGGGCCAGCTGCAACTTCCAGGTAGTCGATTTTGCTGCGATTCAGAAGAGGAAAAACTAGTTCGAGTTAGAACCATCGTTAGCATGTCAGAAAATGTCCTGCAACCATGTCAAAAAAAAAAAAAAGCCACCCTTAAAAACTCTTCTCTTTTCTATGGCAGGGCTTTTCAGGTGGTACATTGGCACCTGGAAGGTGGTATGCGACCATGCTAGAAAAGTAGTAGCGGGGGGAGGGGGAATGAAAGTGCCGCCGGGCGGGCAGGCAGGTGTCTTGCTCGGCTGTGCCTTGGGGGGCACTTTTTTCAGTGCCATTGTAACTTCAAATAGTCACTAAGCAAACTGTTGTAAGTCGAGGACTACCTGTACTTTATCACTTTTTTCCTTTTTTTTTTTTTTTTTTGATCATCAAGTTTTTGACTGGTGGTACTCGGATATTGCCATATCCTAAAAGTGGTACAATCGGTGAAAAGGTTGAAAAGCCCTGTTCTACAGCATTTTACAAAAAGCACCGAATCCCTGTTGGCACGTTTAAAAATCGAAGAAGTAAAAAAAAAAATGAAGAGAAAGCGCGTGAATTGTGGAACTTTTTCAGCCCCAAGGGGAGAAAGTTTTCACCTATCCCCCTGTTCATTAAAGAACGAAAGACCCAAAAAAACAAAAAAACACCCCAATTTCCGAGGAGGCCGTTGGGCAAAGAAAAGAAATCCGAGGTGGCGATTTGCTCAGGATGCTGCGCTGCGTTGGACTCGGCAAAGGGGAGCCTGGGTTACGCGCACCGCTTGGTCTCTCTTTCGCCTTCCCGGAGAGTCCGCAGGGGCGCCAAGGAGAGCGCCGCCCCCTCCACAAAGTTGCTGTTTTTCCTTCCAACAAAACTATCCTCCTGTACGCGGCTGGCCAGAGGGACGCCGCCGGCACGCCTGGCATCCAATCGCGGACAGCGCAAGGAGCCGCGGTCGGGACTCACTTCGTCAGGGTCAGCAAGGCGTCAGTCAGCGCCCCCAGCGAGGCGGCCGGGTCCTCGAGGGTCTCCAGCAGGGCCCGCAGGCTCGTCCCGTCGCAGGGTCCCATCGCTGACTAACGGCTCCAGGGGAGAAAACGGCGGTTAACCAGCCGCCCCCCGTTCTCGAACGCGCTTCCCGCGCGGTTCCCGCGTTCCTTTTCTCGCGGGCGAAGATGGCGAAGCGCGGGACGGCAGTTTGCCGATGGCAAAAGGAAGCTGGCTCATTTATCCCCCATGCCCGACGGTTGCTGTCTCCTCTCCGTTAAGAATTAAGGGAAGGAGGTGGTCGTGCTGGAAGGCATTTTGCACGATGCAAAGATACCTGATTTGAACCAGCGGTTCCACTGAGGTGCTCTGCTCATTTATTTTGTTGTAGACGAACTGATATTGCAGCCAACTCTCATTTATGACTAACCCCCATTCAATAAAGTCAGTAGAGCTTTCTCCATAATAAACCCCCAGACTAAGGTTTGAAGGCTTGGAATACGTGAATAGGTAGAACCAGACCATCTAAGCCAAAACTTGAGATAATGCCTCCCAATAACGACAGGGTTAAGCAAATCATGCTTTAGTGTCGTTTGCATAAAACAGAACTTTTAGATGACGCTAGCTAAATTAATAGAATATGAAACCTACACATCAATTTTACATCCAAATGAGGTAAGCACGCAAACTTGGCACCAGTCACTTTTATTTATTTATTTATTTATTTATTTGATTTGTATCCCGCCCTTCTCCTTACCGGACTCAGGGCGGCTGACAGCCTTATAAAACCAATATTACAGTAAATACCAATTTAAAACCAGATTAAAAGGAAATATTTGCAATGGCCTAATAATTAAAATTTCCCTTAAAAACCCCACTTCACTCATCAGGTGACCAAAATGTAGAAGTTTCAATTTTAACAAAACGGGATTGTGGGAAGCATTTATTAGATTTGATTGAAAAAAGTTCAAACATATTTTGCAGCTAGAACTGTACTGTACTTCACTCCAGGTCCAATTTGAGTTGTGGGAGAGGAATTAAATCTCTCATAAAGATATGGAGGAGTATGGGATATATCAAACATTACAGCAATTAAATAAAATACTGATAAATAAGGGAGATTTTTTTTTAACAAAAACGTATATATTTCTATTAGAAATTGAATTTGAAGAGGAAATAGTAAAGGGCCTGATGATAGCATGGGCCCAAAATATAGGTAGAAATATAGGACTGGATGAATGGGAAAGAACTTGGAACGTAAATTGCAAATTAACGTTGTCAACAGCGTATAAAGAAAACCAAATTAAAATGTTTTACAGATGGCATCTAGCCCCGGCGAGATTGGCCAAAATCTATAAAAATATGAATCCAGATTGCTGGAAATGTAAAAACAATGAGGGAACATTGTACCATATGTGGTGGCAATGCCCCAAAGCAAAAATTTACTGGGAGCAAATAAGAAGATGGATATTGGAAATAACAAGACAACAAATTGAATTCAAGCCTGAAATATTTTTACTAGGTATAATTAATCCAAAAATTGAAAAACATCTCCAATACATCATTATACATATTATAACGGCGGCACGTATTACATATGCGCAACATTGGAAAAATGAAAACATACCAATAAGTGCAAAGATTATAGGAAAGATTTTAGACTGTGCAGAAATGAACAAATTAACTCTAGAAATAAAAGACAAAGAAATTACTGAATTTCACGAGGTATGGGACAGGTATTATAGCTGGTTAGAATTAAGGAATAAAAAAGTAAGAGAAGTAATGTAAATTATTGTTAATAAATGTAAGAGATATAAGACATAGTATTGTTAAGGAAAAAGGAAAATGTATTGTGTATTGTGTATAATGTTTGTTTGAAAAAAAAAAACAAAGTGAAAAATAAATCATTCTTGTAAATTTGAAGGCAGGGCCAATAGGCTTTCCAACACTCAGTTGCTGAGTAAAATGTGATTTATCTAATATTTGAATATTGCATTATGCAAACTCAACTAATCAATAAAGAGATTTATCTAGTGTTGTATTGCTTTTTTCATATTTGTTGACATAAGACCATAGGCTGAATTAAGGAAAACTTCTTGGGCCAGTCCAGCGGTAGGCAACCTTGGCTCCTTTATGACTCGTGGACTTCAACTCCCAGAATTCCTGAGCCAGCATGACTCAGCTTGGAAACCTCTCCCTTTTCCCTCAGTGTGGCTGGCTCAGGAATTCTGGGAGTTGAAATCCACGAGTCATAAAAGAGCCAAGGTTGCCTACCCGTGGGCTAGTCATACTCTCTCAGCCCTGGGAAGGAGGCTGTGGCAAAGCACTTCGGACATTTGCCAAGAAAACTGCAGGGACCTGTCCAGGCAGTCATCAGGAGTCAATGCTGACTTGAAGTCACCCTTCACCCCCAATAATAATAAGCAAGCAAACAGATGTTGTGAGGTCTGCCTCCTCCTCCTCCTGAAATAAATTAAAGGACCCTCAAAGGTATTCCGTTCAAGATGTCTTAAATATTTATTATCACGAAGAGGGTGGCTGAGCGCCCTCCCCGCACCCCTATTAAGCTCTCCCCTCCCTGGGCAGGTAGCGAGCTTGCAATCACACTCATAGAGAGAGAGAGACAGAGAGCGAACCCGGTCCAGGACTTNGCCCAGCAAGACATACTGGGACTCTGGCGAATGACTGGGGTCCCCTCCTCTGCCCTAGCACTTGGGGGCAGCTCCTCTGCGCCCCCCGATGCCCTGATTCAGTCCTCTGCCCAGCCTTATCCGGACCCTGCGGGCGTTCAGCTAGGCAGTACTGGGGACG